TTATCAAGAGGTTCGTTTGCAGACAACCTGATTAACTCAACTTCTTGGGCTGGGCTTATGTTATCAATCCAATTTAATTTTTCAGTAAAAAAAGAAAAAATGCCACTTGAAGTTGCTAATGCCTAAATTCGTTTTTTTTTTTTTAGAAGATCTAATGCCTATGATAAATCAAAGTTACAAACTTCACGGTTGGCTTCGTAATTAAAAAAATTATTTATTTTCTTAATTTTTTAGGTTCAGATTTTGAGACTAATATCTTGAAATTTATTAAATTTATCTTAATGCGTTAAGTCAATATACACTTTCAAATATATATTATTGTTAAATAAAAAAATTAAAATTATATCTATTAATTATAAGGATTTTACAAGCATGGATTGCTCATAATATTAATTTTGAGATAAGAAAAAAATGGATCTTATCAGGATGTAACCTTGCTTGTTACTAACAAATCACAAATGTATGATGCAACCTTGCTTGATTTGGCCAATGAAGAACGATAGGCAAGCAGGTTGTCTGATTTACTTTTATGTCGGAACCTACAAGCTTCTGTTATAAAATTATTCTGCTTAGTATCATTTTCGCCGGAAAAAAGAAAAGAAATATATATATAATATTTCAAGGTCCAATACCGAATGGTTCTACTTTCCCTGATTGTAAAAGAAAAATACAGGCTAACTAAGCGCAATATGAAATTGGGTTGATGGTACTTGGTCAAGTCCCTTTACTTTAGTTGGCATCTTAATTTCGCCTCTCTATTCACTTGTTCACGTAACAGTGTTATTTTTCGATAGACTTATAGAATATTGACACATGGCAAATTTTTTCAAAATAAAAAATTCCAAAATGTTCCTTTTCTTCTACATTTTGATTCTGTTCCTATGTTATGAAAATTTTTATAAAATATTTTCTTTGGGTTTGGATTTGAAAAAAAGAATTTAATTATAAATTTTTGAAATAAAAAAAAGTTCTTACTATTCATAAAAAAATTTGTGATTTTTTTAGAATTTTTTTTTAAATGTCACGTGTTAGCATTATGTGGATCTCGTTATTGAAAATTGATGTCATTACTTGAAAATTTGGACAGAAGAACGAAATTAAGATAAAAATAAAAATAAAATGATGAAAGGAATGAAAAAAATTAATAGAGAGACACTTTTAAGACAAATGAAACAATAAAAGGACATTCTACAGTATTAAACCATATGAAATTCATGGCTGCAACCTCATTGGAGAATGGGGAGTAGATGGTCTAAGTTCTTCAACTGGATTCCTAATGTTTGGTTGTTGGGAATTTTTTCTAGCTTGTTAATAAATATAGTGGGACACAACACATAATTATGTCATAACAAAATTTCTATACAAGATTGCAAGAAATAAATTTTCTGTGAATGCATTAATTCAATGTTAATAACTTACTTAAGGTCTCATTGATGAACTAATTCATCTCCATTTATATAAATTCATCAAAAAAATATATTGACATTAATATTTTATATATTATAGAATACTAGAAAATCATCATAGGAAGTTGTAGTCTTTAGAAAACATAGTTGAATTTTCTTTGCACTTTTCGATTGCTTAGAATAATTTCAAGTGAATATAGAAAAAGTAGTAAATGGAATATTTTTTTGATTCAGTACAGTCATGATGACCATATGAATCTCAATAATCTTATGTTCATCAAATATTCATGTTGGTCATCAATAAACATATGACTATATGGGCATAAATTTGATATGAATGTACATGTATATGTTTTGTATAATTAATAAATAGGTTAATGATGAATTTGATTCTAGTAATACGAAATTCTTTCCAAAAAAATGCATGAAATTATCTAAATATTTTGCAAATAATTATATTATATGATTGTGAATCAAGAATCAAGTAAATAGTCAGCAAAATGAGATTGAATCTTAAGATATTGGAATAAATTAAATTATTCATAAATAGATAAGATATTGCAACTGATCTTGTGAAGGCTAATGCTGATAGTAAAGAGAACACTAAAGGCTGAGTTCCTGGATTATTGGATATTGGCTCAGCTTATAGATTAATGGTTAAACCATTGGCTCAATAAAATAATTAAAAATATAAAGCTTTTTAATTAATATTTAATTATCACAGATTACTGTTGAGGATATGGAGGCATATAGGATGAAGAAAGCACATCATGATGATCTAATGAAGGATTTTTTCTCCATTAAACTTGTTGTTAACTTGTTAATTTTTTAATACAAGTATCCTAAACCTTTTTTATATATATATATATAATAAAGACATTTTTTTTTAAATTTAAGTACTTTGAACTATTTTTTTTGGTAATAAAAAGACATTTCTCTCCTGATTTGGTTATTTCGGTAATATTTTTTACTTCATGTGATGTTTGGTGATGGTAAAATATTTCTTAATTTGGAGAATGGAAACTTATTCGGTGTTCTTGCACTGGTTTTGCTGTCTCTGATCATATGCTGTTTGCAGATGATGTCTTTTTTCGTTTGCAAAAGCAAATAGGAACGAGCAAAAGTTAAAAAAAAAAGGTTCTCCTACTGTTCCTCGTTGTCGAGGGGAATACTCTGCTTTATTTGCAATTTTCCCATCACATGTGATTTGGGCAGATATTTGGGAGTCTCTCTCTTTTACTCAATACGTGTCAGTGAAACTGTTAAAAATCTTTGGATACGTTGTATAATAAGTTAAGTGTATTATAAAAAAAAGTTATAAGTGTTTTCAAGTAGGATGTTTATCCCATATTAAAAAAGAATAATAATAAAAAAACAACTAATAAAGTAGATATTTAATAAAATTTTTAAATATTTAATTAAAAAAATTTAAAAAAAAATAGTTAGTACCGTTGAATTATGAAATCACTAGCAATTTCCTTTGAAGAATGAGGTCACCAGCAAGTCTTCTCTAGTCAAACAATTATGCAATCTGCCGACTACTAAAAAAACTAAGATGCTCTTTTTGTTTATAGCCAATTTGAATTTAAAAATAATTATTTAAAAAAATAATATGAAAAAAATTCAAAGAATAGAAGGATCAAAACATATATTTCGTATATTACCACATGGTTAGCTAAACAAAAAAATTTGTAAAATTAAACAATATAATATTGCTGATTAAATGTTTGATACAAAACATGTTTTTTATTAGAAATATATATAATAACTAGTAATTAAAATAATGACGTGACTTTTTTTTTTAATTTTGAATGATTAATTTCCATCATATGTTTTTCATATGTAGTTTGTTAATGAAATAGGGAGAGACCACCTAAAATAAAAAGACAAAAAAGTTTTGTTAAATCAGAATGAAATTGAAACATTTCAAAACATATTTGGCAAAAGATCGAAACAAAAATTACATATGACAAAACTTAAATGATCAAAACAAAGTAAAGATCATAAAATAAAGATTAAAAAAAACTTTCACGAAAAGCCAAAAATGACTTATGAACAATAAGATTAAAAAAAAAAAAAACTCATTATGCATAAGATACGAATAAAAATCAAGTATGATAAAGCTTTAATGATAAAAAAAAAATCACAAAATAGGAATCAAATTAGAAATAAAATTTCTACCAAAAACAAAAAAATAGTTAGAATGGTGAATCTATATTTAATTTTAGCGTGTGTATATAAAAACAAATATGATAAAATTTTAATATTTAAAATAAAAAATCATAAATTAAGATCAAAACATAACAAAAAGCTTCATTAAAATTGAAAAAATGATTCTTTATAAAAAAATCAAATATAATAAAACTTTAATAATCAATAGATAAAAAAATATAAAATAGGGACTAAAATTAAAAAAAAAACCACTAAATGCCAAAACAGAGGCCTACCGACAACGAAAAGTCGAAAGAAAACAAACGAAGCGACAAGCAAAAGTAGGATAAAATCCGAAAAAGTTATAATCCAGACACACTAAATGGCAGAAATGATATTTTACAGTAGAAGAAAGGGCAAGAAAAACGAAGAAAAAGAAAGGCGCAGAGGAAGCAGAGAGCGGAGTTTCAAAAGAAGGGCAAAAAACATCAAAACCAAGCGATTGGGGAAAGAAAAGGAAGGAAAGAAAAAGAGGGTAGGAGGAAAAAAAGGTTTTGTAAACAGTTAATACACAGTTGCATTATATGTTCGTAAACAGTCACTTGCACAATAGTTTTACTTTTTTTATTTTTTTTGTTAATTAGCTTTTTCAGGACAAACGTTTCCTGTCTGTACGTATGCTTTTGAACTGGGATAAGGTCCAAGTTACTGTAGTTTGATCACCAGCAATTCTTCTCTAGTCAAACAATTACGCAATCTGCCGACTACTCAAAAAGCTAAGATGCTCTGTTTTTCATAGCCAATTGAATTTCTGTGACTTGTCTCGCCTAACTCTTGGTATTTTCCTTTAGTTTTTTTCTAATTAGCTTTTTTCAGAACAAGCGTTTCCTGTTTGTATGCTTTTGTAATAGGATAAGGTCCAGGTTACTGTAGTTTGATGACAAAACTGCTCAATTATTAAACAAAGAAAGCATCAGAATTGAGAAAATCTGATCCCCAAAAAGAACTCATAAATATTGAAATGACAGTATCCCTCATGCCTATCCACAAACCTACCGTATAACACCAATGCCAGGTCGCAGATTTAGCACCACACGAATTTATATATCTCAGTTACCGACACTTATGTCGTTACAGGTTTGATGGACTTCCAGAGAAGGAGCCCATCCATGACTCTGATCTCTTTCCACCGAAAAACAGAAGTCAGCACCTGTCTTTCTTTCATTTGCTAGCCATGCCACCTAAACCCTAGTGACAATAAATGAATTCCTTTGAGGTACGTGTATGGCTTCATGGGCATGCACGTTGGAACTGTCCAACGTCATTTCTCCTCCTAATTAATGCCTATAAAAGCCAGCCAATCCCACCGGTTAAACGCATTGGCACTTGAGCTAGAAAGCATTAGAACAATTTGCTTCCTTATTAGTTTTTCAATCCGTGAAAATGGCTTCCTATCAAAACATTTCTGATGACGTTCGCAAGACTGCTGATGAATATGGGAACCCAGTTGGCCAAAGAGACGAGTATGGAAATCCCACCGGCCAGCGCACTGGCACCACTGACGGTGGATATGGTAGTGCTGGTGTTGGCTATGGGACCGCCACAACTGGAGCTGGACAGTATGGTGGCGCACCAGTGTCAGCTGGCACTGGTATCGGGACCGGCGGGGAATATAACAAGGAGCAACAGGGCAAGCTTCATCGCTCCGGAAGCGCTGGCTCTAGCTCCGTAAGTATTGATTACCACTATATAATCACATTACTTATGCAATGATTTAATTTCTATCTATCAGATGATCCCTTGCTTCCTGGCTTGTAATTTTATCTTGGACTTTAAGATTATTTGGTTGAGATGTAGACAGGAGGACTAATTAATTAATTTAAGTGCTGGTAAAATTCGTTTGTGATTACAAAAGAAGTTGAGGACTAGTTCGGATTCGAAGGCTTTCTCAAAAGCATCTGTCATTTTTAAAATTTTATTGGACGTCTGACACATTGCATTTTCTTGTGAATTTTACAGTCCGAGGATGATGGCCAAGGTGGGAGGAGGAAGAAGGGGATAAAGGAGAAGCTGACAGGTACAGGGTACGAAAATGATCCTTCTAATGTCACTTCTACCGCACCAGGTGGTTATTCTTCTGCTGAGCAGACTCATGAGAAGAAAGGGATAATAGACAAGATTAAGGAGAAGCTTCCTGGAAGCCATGGCGATGAGCAGTGATATCTATATATATAGGAGAAGCTTCCTGGAAGCCATGGTGATGATCAGTAATGTCTATATATCTATGTATTTATGTGTGTGTGCTTTTTCAGTTTATAACTAAGCATTTTGTGGCAAATTTGAGGAGAGTATGTACTAATATATAGGAATAAAGCAAAGAGAAAGTTGGGTGCTAGAATATGCTGGTATCTGTGCGAGTACCAGGGCCTTGGAGCAGTATTCTGTATCCTATTCTGTGGAATTTATATACAGAGTAAATACAGTTAAGAATAGTGAGTGGCTTTGTTTTCTATCTGTAGAAATTCTTGCTTTCTGTGAATTACTCGCATTAATCTCTATTTGCTATGGAAAGAGCTGAAGGTTGGTGTTGGTCTCCTGCAGCAGAAGGAAACCTATCCTGCATCAATACGTTTGCCACAACACAATAAACTCCTTACACCGCTAATTGTTCCACTAAGAAAACAGAAACTAAGCTACCAACGTTTACAGACCACACTAGGAGATAAACCAAGGGTTCCAGAATTCCAAGAATGAACCAAAAAGTTTCAACAGAGTGTATTTGATTATATTATCACATGCGTAGGGCACAAATATGCAGGAAGTGTAAAGATACTTGTCATGTATATGTACAAGAGACTGTCTTGAACCCAGGAGTTCAATGTTTACAGAGCTCTCTAAGAGATGAACTAAGGGTTCCAGAATTCCAAGAATGAGCCAAAGAGTTCCAACGGAGTGTGTATTTTTTATTATATTATATTACATGCGTAGAGCACAAACATGCAGAAACTGTAGAGATACATGTCATGTATGTACAAGAAAAAGTCTTGAACCCAACAGTTCAATCTCTACATAATGAAAGCTGTTCCCTTTTTTTTGAGGTAGTCATTAATCCACCCTTCAATCAGCTTGACTTCTGTTTCTCTCTGTTCTACTAGCCAATCAGGATCCTCAGGTGTTGAAGGTCGCAAATCTATGTGATGGGCACCTGATATGTGGTTGAAAAAAAGAAACTAGATTACTTTTAACACGACAATATCCTCCATGGTTGGACAAAACTTAGCGTTTCTAAGTTTCCAACTAATAACGGAGCAAGTGAAGGATCACATATTATCAACTCTTGCAGCCTTGCTGTGATGATATCAAGCAGGATGCAGAACTTAGCTTCTATATAAGACCACTGAATTTTAAGAACTTACAGGAGAGCAAGGAAAGTGATTGTTAAATTTTAAGGGCATTGCAACTACATCAACAACGGATCGAATTTTCGCATAACATTATGAATGCCATGATATGGAAAAATTAGACATTAGAAGAGCCTCAAAACCATTCTGGCGGGCACCTTAAACCTGATGTGGAAAGAAGATGAAGGCCAACAAGATTTCGTGTAGAAGAATCTAGAGATATGATGGCATAGCAAGTAATTTCAAAAGAGACTGCCTATATGCATTAAGCAAACACTACCAAAGAGGATCTACAATGTGAAAATTTTATCTGAGGATATGTATTGTTTGTTAGAAAGGTAGACCAACCTACCAGTAAAACCAGCCGTCTTGAAAATCTACAGTGAAAATTTTATATGAGGATCTGCATTGTTAGAAAGGTAGACCAACCTACCAGTAAAACCAACTTTCTTGAAAACTAAACCATCGAAACGGTTTCTGCAGCAATGTCTATGAGTCATGGCTGATCCTAAGTGACCTATCAGACAGTTGATATTTATCGAGTATACTTTATGTAGTTATCCAGATGTTTTGTTTGTTTTTTCTTTTTCCTTTATATTTTCACCTGGTTTTAAAGAATAATTAGATAAGATCGGCCAGCCAGAAGCTTATAAGATGGGTTAACATAGGGTTTGAAAGATTGTTTATCCACCCAACGTATTAGCCCACTGGTTATCAAACTTGTGGACGCATTGAAGCACTTACGCTCTCAATTGTTATGCTTGCTTATCAAAGGAATAAGAAGATCCCCAAGAATTAGTTCCAACAGATGGCAGAGAATGGAGTCAAAGGTTGTCTTAACATCCAAAATATGACTTTTGGGTTAACAGAATTACCTTCTTCCGTAACAAGGGCAACAACAGTTTCAGATATGTTTTGCAGAACACTGCCACAAAAAAAAAAAAGGACCATTAAAATAACATTGAATCCATGATGAGCAAACCAAATATAGCAGCTGCATACCTCCCACCACTCCAGGGATCCAGCAGACCATTTGAGAAAATGATGTTACTTCCAAAATTTTCCAGGGTAGTTTTGATATCCTTTACAGTAAAGGAAAACATATCAGAATAAAAATATCGCAAAGACAAAGCATTGTTCATGTTACATATGTTAGTAGACAAAGTATGTATAAGAAAACAAACCATGCCATTGTAATATGTCACTGGCTTCCATCTAATGCCTAAAAAGAAGAAATTATAATAGAGCAAAGTATCGCAGGAGAGTAACGCTTCATATCCACCAATTACATCACATATTTATTAGCGACGGCATCCATGTGGCAGAACATACAGTGAATGACTTGCCTTGGCAAATTTAAATGTCTTGGAGATAAATCCATCAAGGTTGGACTGCTACTACTCAAGAGTGACTCTAAGTTCCTGCTTCAAGTTCAGGCTGGTCCAATTTAACACTTGTGCACTAATATGAAGGTGCAACTCTATCTCAGAGGATATGCAACAAGACACATGTAACAGCCAGTACATATGGTCTCATCGTAGTTCGGAAGACATGTGCCATTGACATCATTGCAGGGAGGACTTGCATGCATGTTTTTACACCTATTGCATGTTTCTTTCCTGAAAGCAATAAAATAATTCTAGCATCATAGCAGGTGTCACTTGAAATTGTGGCATTGCGAGTCAAGCAGGGCCTAAGCTCATGGAAAGCAAAGAGTGAGTAAACACATCATACACATGCATACCATTCATATGCACACACAAGTGTATACATTCATATGCACCTACACATATTTGGAGAATGAAATGCATAGAATTTTCACGTCTCTAAACAAATATGTAGCATTCTGATGCTTTAGCGTATTCCAGTTGAAACCTACAGAGAAAAATTTGTTTCCAAGTCCAACCCACAAGATACATAACATTATAAAAGACAATCAATGACAAGGAAGAAACAACAAAATTATCCTTACAGGTCAGAACAATTAATATGAGGAAACAAATAATCGTAGCTTATTCGGCATTGATAAATTTAAAAAGAAGAGCAATCAATATTTCTCTTACTTTTCCACCAAATTCCGTTGTTATCCATCTAGGCCTTGGAATAACCCCAAAACCCTCCCGGCATCCCTCTTGGAAGGATGAATAATTAAAGTCAAATGTTGGAAACATGCTCGCATCGTGGCTGCTAGACATTGGCATAACCATCTCCGTGCAAGCCTATATGGTAGAAAATAGAAAATAATAACAATTATAAAAGAGAGAACAACATGTTAGCCTAATGATTGTGAGCATATTCAATCATCACTCAAATTGGGTTTGGGGGGCGGGGGTGGAGGGACCAAAAAGAACTTTTGTAACAATTCTTGACCTGCCAGTTCCAACCACCCAAGCCATGAGGATCATCATCCAGTTCAAAGCAGTGTACTTCCCCAGTATAATTGTAATATATGCTTATTCCTACAAATATGCGCTCCAGAATGGTAGTCCCATTAGGACAACCATCAATCCTTCTGCAAACCTAAAGAAAAATATAAACAAGATTTTCAAATTCATGACAGAAGAGGAAACTCATAAGAAAGCACAAAATTGTAAGAAAACCCAATTAACATTAATCCATAAGTTCAACGCTTAATTGCAAGAAAATTTTATTCGGACACTAAAAGAACGAGAGAAACATTCTAACTTCAGAAAGCCAGCACTTGATTACTTAGATTAGTTAATGCGTATGTATACAAGTGCATGATAAGAGTGATTTAAAATGCACAAGGAATCCTCGCTCGCTAACCTCTCTAATCGGATATCCAGGCAAAGGCATCATAAAAGAGGAAGGATAAGGATAATCCACCATAGCCAAATAACTATACGCAGAATCCAACCAGTCTGCAAGATCGTCTGCACTTCTCAATTCCCTGTCAATCATGCATGAAATTACATAAAAGGAAACTACCTAAGCAAGCATACATAAGTTGTCATTATGTTTTGTTTCGTTACCGGCATAAGTGGAAAGTTTTGGCCAATTGCACAAGACCATTCTTTTTGAGACCCTCAGAAAGCAATGCATCCCATGACTCTTTTATAGTATTAAAGCAAGTGGTGCTCTCACGCTGCAAATCGGAAACAGAAAATTAAACCATATTGATGCTGAAAACAGTGGATAAACAGCAGAAGCAGCAGAACAGACCTTGAAATCATTGGAGACAATGTCATAAAAGGTTTGTGGTGGCACAATATCTTCAAATTGCAGAATTGGTGCCGATGAAGCAAGTGCACCAATCGCTATATGGGGATATTTCAGCCGCATCCATGCCGCTAACACTGTTCTCGGGGTTCAAAAATTTACTGTTCAACACTAAAATGAATATACAAAACAAAAAGAAAATATTACAAACACTTACTTCCACCATAAGATCCACCAAACAACACAACAGGGCAATCTTGGGCTGACAAATTTCTTTTCAAGTCAGTGATCAAAACAGCGAAATCAGCAAGAGCTTGCTCCGCAGTTAAATAAGACAATGTAGTAGCATTCTTATACGCCTCCTCTATACTTCCGTAAGGCACTGACTCGCCATAGTAGCGGTGCTCGGGGAAAAGGACCATGGCTCCGAAGCGAGGAGCAATTTCCCAGACAAAGCCACTATTAGCAGCGAACCATTCGATGTCGCCTTCATTTCCACAGTAGAGGAAGATTGGGCCAAGCCGCTCAGGACCCGCCCAGTGTTCGGTGTTTATCAGGTACCGCTGAGGGAATTTCGGCAGATTTGAGAAGCTGAAGTGGTCCAGTTGTTGGTAAAAGTACTTGCTCTCGTATTTGTACGGTTGCTGCTGCTGTTGGGTTTTGATTGGGTACGAATGTTTGCTAAGGAAACGTGGGGCTCGATTGGAGGAGAGATAATTAAACGGCTGTGATGCGAATGTTGCCGGTGTTAAGATGATGGTGATGATCATGATCATGATCGGGGAGACGAGAGAAAGTCCTGCCATTTTTTGGGACTGTTGCAGCAGCTGGACTGGACTTCACTAGCAGAATCATCGTCTTTTCAAGGACATCCTGGAGTGGAGTCAACACTGCATCGAACGACATGTATTTCCAGTTTGCCACCAATATAAATTATTTGTTAAAATTGATAAAATCGAGACAACCTTTGAGATTATTCTAATATTGGACATTGGATATTGAATAATTACACATCTTCATTTACATGGAAGACAAATTTCAATCTTTTATATCCACAACCATTTATATTGGTGGCAAACTGGAAATATATATAATGAAAAAAAAAAACATTTCACATTTTTAAAAGGAAATTGATCAAAATAATGTTCGAAAAAAAAAATTTCCAAATATTTATTGAAAAAGAATCTGCAAGCATGACAAATTATTTTTATACATAAATTCAAATATTGGAATAAATAAAGGCGGACTTATACAAGGGAGGATGGAATATCGTTTTGGGCGTTGGACTTGAAGTCAATAGCCCAATAAGAAAGCCCAACTAACAGTATAAATTGTAGGCCACATTGCGCCCA